GGCGTTGAGCGCCCGCCGGCGCCGGGGTCGCGCAAAAAGCGGCGCAGGGCAGCGCGGGCGGGAACCCCCGCGGCTGCGGCCCCGTCCTTGGACCAGGCTCGCCCTCCGAGGGGGCTGGGCAGCGGCAGGATGTTTCTCAAGCTGGCGGTCGTGGTGCAGGTGCTGTCGCTGCTGGCATGCCGGGTGCACGGCTTCCCAAAACCTGCGGGCAAAGGTAGGCGCCTTCGTTAGGGCGTTTTGCTCCGTTTTCTCCGAGATGGGGAAAGTTTTGTAGGGTATAGATACAGGAAAGTAAAAACTTTCCTTCCACTTGGCTAAAAGCAATTGGATCCTAAAGAAACAGTGTTCCTGATGCAAGACGCTGGGTCGCTGAAGTTTCAATCTAATATTAAAGTGAAGAGATCAGTGCTGGTAGAGGGAGAAGCTCTGAATTTTTTCAGTCTTTTCCAAGCAATTTTTTCGTCCATTCTGCAGCAGTTTCTGCACAAGTCTCTCTCTCACTCCCAGTCTCCCCTGGTATTCTGGATGTCAGAGATTTTTAATCTCTTGGTTGTGCCAATCCGATTATTGCTATTTCAGTCAATCTCTTACAGCATTTTTTCACCAATTTGTTTTTGAGTTTTCTCATCAGAAAGGGTTTGCTGAGTCTGTATTTCTAGTACAGCTTTTGCAGAACCTCTCCCTCTCTCCCTCTGCCCAGATAATCATGCTTTGTTTAAGTGTTTGACTTTTTTATTGTATTGTCATTCTTCTAGGAGCACTGAATATTTTACAAGAACTAGCAATTGGCATCGTCTTTAAGACACCATGTTTTATGGAAGAAAACTATAAATTAAGAAAGAATGTGCTGTCTCTTTGTAGTCACATGCATCACATAACTGAGTATATATGTGTGTGTTTGTTTATTCTAGATAAAGCTACACACAACAGACAATTAAGTGTAGAAAGACCTTTGGAGGAACAGGTAAGTGAAATAAAAAAATATTTACAATATTTTTTGGTTCGGCTTTCTCACAATATTTGGAGCCTTCAGGTGCCAGATCTATGAATTTCCTGATGCCTTAATAAATGAGTTAGATTTGTCAGTAAATTAAATATTAATAAGGTGGGTACAAAATAGAGTTTCAATCATTTTAAGAACTAGCATTCCAAAAGCAGGCTGTTAGCTCCAACAGCTTGCAGGTCTGTATCCCCTTTGTATTGACATCCTGCGGGTGCTTGGATTGAAGAAGGAAAATGTAACTGGCATTTATCTTAAAGTGGAAAGTCTGTTGCAGCTTCCCCTAATGTCTCATTCTGATCAGAGGATGCGGTGGTACTGACAAAAAGTGCCAAGTGCTCAATCACATTCTACTTATCAAGGCAAATTTCTTACTAGAAGTGAATATCAGGCATTAATTATATGAATATTCTGCTGATATTGATAAATTAAACATATACCACATTTTAGTGTATTTATTCCTTCTGCCTGTTTGTTGTTTTGTTTGTTTGATTGTTGTTTTCTTATATATATCAGATTGCTGAAGCTGAGGCAGACAAGAATAGGAAAATAGTTCCCACAGGTAAAACATTTTCCCTGGGTTTGTAGCAATATTCATAATGGTATTCGAAGAGGTATAAGATTTTATGTCTTGTGTGCATTGATATATTTTCCAGAAAATAAGCCAGAGTTCAGGAATTATTCCTTCGCTGATGACCTGAACCTGCTCAAATCAGTAGCAGAAAGAGAGAGGAATGAAAAGGAGAGGGAGTCAATTAGAAGCTCTTTGTATGAACAGCAGCGAGCCATTGATGATGCAGACTCAACCAAGAACCGCAGGCTTGTGGATGACTATGACTCCACTAAAAGTGGACTGGATTACAAATTCCAAGGTATTCTATCATCCTCATCCAGTGACTTGTAGGTTAGACTTCTCTTGCAAATTGATTGCAATCTTCACTGTTGTACTCACCGCTAAACGTGAGCTCTATTTGTTATTAGAGTACAATTTCAGTTACTTCCAGCTGTAGAAGTTTGTTGTATTACAACTAGGTTTTGAAGCGCAATACAAAAAAAATTGCTGTTGATTTTCATAGTCTTCTTCCATGAAGGAAAGCCCAACTGTGTAATTTGCATTACATTTTTTAGCAACTTAGATGTGATGGAAGGAAAATGGGACATATTTCTAAATTAAAATATATTTATTATGGTTTGAAAGGAAGAAGCACTTTTACGTACAGCTAAATCACATCTATTTCTTGCCAGTGTTATGTGCAATCTTAGATAATTCTCCTTGTCAAAAAGCTAAAAGAAGTTGCCAAAGAATGCTTGCCTTTACTACAGGAGCAGTTAATTGACTTGTAGTTAAGTGAGTCCGGTGAGAGTTGTGAGCAGCATTTAGCTCAGGATATTTTTAATTATATCAAGGTATGCTGATCACAGACCAAAGCTTACTCATCATATTCACTTTCCTATTGGTCATGGTGATATTATTTGCTGTAAGTAATGATTGCATAATGAAAGCTTCATTTGCTGAAATCCAAAGAAGAAGATAGCATGCTGTTTGTCATGACCTGTTTTGATCCAAGTGGCCATACAATGAAGTAGATACCAGGGAGATGTATATAAGTACCTACATGAGCAGTGTTCTCTCTTTCTTCCATTTTTTTCTACAAACAGAGGAGTATGCTCCTCACATCCATCTCTGCTCTTTCAAAAGAGCCAGTCAGAAAGACATTTTTCAGATGTTGAAAATGGACACAAAGAATTTTTCATTGGGACTGATGTAATGGGTTCCAAAATGTGTGCCAAAGTATATTCCTAACGTGTCTAAAATGCGCGGCTTTGTTCTGACAAGAAAAAGATGTGGGCAGATATTTTTCACAAGATCTCTAATCCGAATGAGTTAGGACAGTCAGCACACAGTTAAACTGTAATCCTTTCAGATGATCCAGATGGCCTCCATCAATTGGATGGCACTCCTTTGACTGCTGAAGACATTGTTCAGAAAATTGCTGCAAGAATTTATGAGGAAAATGATAGAGGAGTGTTTGACAAGATCGTTTCGAAACTTCTAAATCTGGGGCTAGTAAGTAACTTGTTAATACTTCATTTATCTGTCTTGTAGGATGTTTTAATGCTCTTTTAAAAAGCAATTTGAATGAACATTGTGTCCAACTCATAATGGGACTTGAGTGAAAACAGATGGGATTCAGTCTCTGGGCAAGCTTCGTGGCTCATTTGGGCACGTTGGTTTAGTTCTGCAATAAGGTTGTTGTTCCTGTGTTCCTTTGCAACAAAATAGGGCGAACTGCAGAACATTTCTGTCGCTGAGAAAACTGAGATTCACTGACTGTACTCCTCCCATGTCTGCCCTCATTTTTCCTTTAATTTCATTTTCCTTTCAGTGGTTCTCATTGAGTTCTTTTGTATTATCAGTTTCTTTCGCGTGTTTATGGGAAAAGGTCTGGGCTCATTCCTATCTGCCTACTAATTATTGTCATGAGCAAACATATCATGCTGCTGGTTAGTTGAGCATGTATTTCTCATTGTTACTGATTTCTAGCAAGGCTGTGTCTGTCTCTGATGCCTGGATGTCTCAATGGCTTTAGCCATATGGGATCCTTATATTTTAAAATAATAACCCTATCTTTTCTGCACTAGATTTTGCAATTAGCTGTTGCATGCTGAATCCCACTGATTGCAAAGGGAGCTGTGGAACAGCTGCATGGTACAGTTCTCGTTCAAGTGAAAGCTGTTACAAAGCAAATATAAAAAATGTTGGTGATGCTGTAGAAAGTTATTTGCTTTTTTCCTTTCTGTATTACTCTATTCAACTGTACATAGGTATATTGCAGAAAGTAGGTATTTATTTACATACACACCTATATACACATATAGGTATACCACACTTGCAGCTCCATCTTTCAAGCTGGACTCCATTGTGTTAAGCCCTATATGGACTTGTTTTCCTGCTGGAAGCTCTACATGTGGCTGGGTGGTTTTTATGCATACACACATTTGATGTGTGTTTGTGTGTGTGTATATAGACATTTATCTAATGTAGACATGTATATATGGTTGTATGTATACATGTATACACACACACACACGTCAGTGAAGGTATTACACCTAATTTGGCTGTTCTCAGCTTTGGAGAAAAGTATTTACAAAGCTAAGTTTTCATATTGATGTTTAATCTAGGAAAATCAGAATACTCTAAGTTCTCTGCACAAATATTTTAACAGATCACAGAGAGTCAGGCCTATACCCTGGAAGATGAAGTGGCAGAGGTTTTACAACAGCTAATTGCAAACGAAGCAAAGGATCGCGAGAAGGAGTCTGAAGATTTTGATTACCCTCCAAGCAGAGCAGACAGTGACATGAAAGAAAAGCAAGAGGAAAGAATGGTAATTTCTTACCTAATCATTTTTACTCACTTGCCAGATGAAACAAGCAGACCAATAGGGAATAATTAGTTCTATCTGGAACTAAAGGTTCTTAAAGAAATCCCGTCAGATAGAAAAATGAATTGTGAGTTCCTTTGAGGCATAAGCCAGATCCCAAATTGAAATAACTTTGAAAAAATAGTGTAGTCTTCACCTTGTAATAGGGAAAATGTTGGCATGAGATCATGGTGCTATTTATTGCTCTGTTAACTCTATCACCAGAAGCAATGTGCTTATAGATTTTTATTTTCATGTCTTTTATGGAGACACCAAGCAAAGCTGATCAGAATAGTTTCATTAATGGAGAAATTGATGATACACTGGATAACACATGGTCGTCATCTAATATCTTGGAAAGAAGAAATGACCTGCCCTCTGAAGATAATTTTGAAGACCTCCAATATTTTCCAAACTTTTATGCACTATTGAAAAGTCTTAACTCAGGTGAGCTCACCATGTGTTTACAGGAACATTTAGGAGGAAAATATAACATTATCATTCTCTCTGTTTTCTCCTACTCCCTTCCCCTCCCCACAGCTTCCCTAGTTGCAAGAGACCATGTGCTTTAAAAATATTCTCTAAGATGTACAGCAGAAACTAATCTGATTAGTGAGTATGGCAAAACATGGGGTGGAACAGCACTCAGAACTGCACACTATGCGACCTAGGTAGCCCTTCCTGTCTTGTGCTCTATGACTCAGGAGTCCCAAATTCTTTTCTTTCCCATAAGGGCAAGATGTACAACTGGCAAATTGTTTTCTCCAGAGATCTTTCTGGTAACATTTGTGTCTTCTAAGCCAACAGAGATACGAGTAAGGCACAGTAGAATCCTGACAGTGGTGGTACCAGTAAATGAGTCTGAGGCTCCCAACCTTTTCACAAACCACAGGTTTGCTGTTTATTGCAGTGAAAGCTCTGCACGTCTCTTCCTATTCCGGTGCTAGACATCACTGCCTTCCAGTTATTGCAGGCAAGACTGTGGCATCTCGCCACAGCCCCTTTGTCAGCATGCTCTACCACACACCCACTCTCACTCTCTGCAGCCAGCATATCTTCTTCTTTCCCCAGCACCGTCAGCAACAATTTATTCTGTATATTCCTTGTCCTGCAGGAGCCTTAACCTTGCTTCAAACTGTTCCCATAAATACCTGAGTGGAGAGCTAGGATGAAAAACCCCACGGCATATTTTTATCCAGCCCAATCTACAAACCTCATATTCTTCTACCTGTTCTTTTCATTTTCCCATGGTAGCTTTTCATGCTAGTTCTTCTTTTTCTACTCAGAAAGCAGAAAGGCACGTATGGTTTAACAGGTTATCAAGCAAATAGAACCAGGTCCCACTGGCTGCACATCTCTGCCTTTTCTCCTGCTTTATGCTATTCACCTGCCAGCTTGTGTTAAGCTGAAGGAGAGGGGATTCAATTGCATCCTACAGATGTGTGTTAAGTTGCAGGCAGCAATAAACCCGTCCAGCTCTCCCAAGGGCCTGGATCTCTGCCAAGGCTGGGGCTGTGTTTCTGACTGTCCCTGTCTGACAGTGCCCCTGGCTCTGTTGGGTCCTTCAGTGACAACCTGGGCTGTGGGAAAAGCTTGTGTCACTGTGTGGTGGGGGTTTCATGCTGCTAATGCTGAAATAGCGGTAATGCTGTTCAGCAGATGAAGTCATTAGGAAAAGAAAGCTAAAAAGCAACAATCATGGAGATAGTCAGAGTTACCTGGGGGCACGAAAGATGGGTTTTTATAATGAAAAATCACTGTTCATTTCCTATTCTGGAGTAATGATTCTCGCAACCATGTAATATTATGTTTTCCTAGTACCTGAGTCATGGCCTTGTACATCGTAACAGGCTCATTTGAGACACTTTATATTTTTGTCATTGAACACATGGATCTTGTAGGAGAAAGGATCTCTGAGCTATCTTCTTCATACAAATCCAGACTGATACACTAAGTCGTTCACAGGCAAATATAAGAAAAAAGACAGATAGAAAACTGCTATATCTGCCCTCTGACTGGCAATTTGAACTCTGTCAGCTCACTTCATCTCAGTGTGTTTAGTGTTCTTATGTGTAAAATTAACACCATTTACCTTCCATAACACAGATCCTAAAAAAATAGCTACAAAGAAGAACCAAACCCTGAAGTTTTAAAGTACATTCAGGGGTACTTTGCAGAAGCAGTTCAAAGGAAAGAACACGTATGAGAGTTCTCTTTGCTAATCCAGCACAGCGTTTTGGTTTTAGTGACTAGGTCATTCTTTATGCGTGATGTTTGTGCAGAGTTTGCAGAACTGAGTTTTTCTGGGTTACCTGAAGTCGTTGACTGGTTTTGCTTTATCCCCTCACACAGATACAGAGGCGAAAGAGAAAGAGACCTTGATAACTATCATGAAAACCCTGATAGATTTTGTGAAGATGATGGTTAAATATGGAACAATCACACCAGAAGAAGGAGTTTCTTATCTGGGTGAGACTACATGCTTTATGCAACAGTGTTATTGATGCTAAGTTCTTACTCTATGGACAGTGATCATTATATTGTCATCTTCTTTGCTCTTATGAGTCCTGTTTCAGACTTGTTCATTCAAAACATTAGCGCTGTACTTCTAAGTGATGGATCATTCACTATGACAGTGTAGAATTCCGTACTGCTTTAACGTTTCCATTTAATGACTGAAAGGTTATTTAGCAGATATGTATTTAGAGGATTATTCCACTTTCACACCTGTGAAGCGCACTTAATTTCAGTGGCTTTGTGTCAGGGGAAGATTGGTGGTTTTCTCAGTTGTATTGAGGTGGATCAAGCACCGAAAAAAAAGAGTCCAAAAAGAATCCAGCACATTAACACCTTTAATCTGTCATCTGTAAGTAGCTAGAGCAGACGAGACCTAATGCTATGGCCTTCTACCAAGTCAAAATCCATCTATGGGAAGTGTTACATCTTGGCACAGGAGCTGTTTTTGAAGCACTC